CTGATCGACATTAGGTTTAAATTGAATGAAGGCACACATAAAACGTTGTTTAATTGAAGGTTAGGGCTAAGGGAAATATTGCCAGTATGTGACACACGTGCTGTCTCTCCATTAGGCAAATTTATTGCAGACATGATGGCAGCCTTTGGTTCAGTCATAACAGAAGATTTTGATACTATATGATCCGTAGCTCCACTATCGAGAATCCATGAATTAGAACTCGCAGAGTTAATAGATAATGTAGATATGGGAAACAAACCTGCAACATTGACGTGATTGTCAGAATTACCAGAAGGGTGATGATTGATTGCAGATAAGGCTTGTGCTATCTCTCGTAATTGCTCAGAAGAAAAATTTGGAATGGAATTAGGTGACTGTTCTTCTGTATTCAACTGTGAAACATCGGCCATATTTGCAGATGATCGATATCCACGGTTATTGTGTTGATTGTCTTGTCTTGTCCTTCCAGAATTATTTTTCTGTCGACACCGATCTTCTGTATGGCCCCTTCTATCACAAAAGTTACAGTGAAACTTAAGAATTCGACACTCATTGATTGTATGACCACTTTTATTGCAGTGTTCACACTTTTTGTCCTTGGCGAATTTTGAATATATTGTTTCCAGTATAGTTTCAAAAAGAATGAATTGTATCCTCCCAAAACACATGAGATGTATATCAATCAGGTACTGACTCGTGGTCCGTATAGCCTGTTTAAAGGCCTACAGGAATTCTTAACCCGTCGTGAGCAAGCTGCACTGGAATTCCTTCCCTTTTGGACCAGTCAAGCAGGAAGTCGTTGTCCTTATGGTGATCAAATTCATGCGTCATTCCAATTAACATGGCTTGTTTCGGGTTTAGCCTCTTCACAGCATCCAGGGTCTGTGGGAAGCAAAAGTGAGTGTTATGGGATCCAGTCTTATACAACGTGTCCAAGATAAGAAGATCCAACTGTCCAGCTCCATTTATTGAAATAACATGTTCTGTACTTGCAGGAATTCGTGAAACGTCAGAAATATAAGCTACTCTATATTTTTCACCAAAAAGAAACCCCAGACATATATAATCTTCACCATGCATAACAGGCAAAGGAGTAAATTGTAAGCCTGATGCAACAAAGGGCTTCTCAATGTGATCCTCGATTATCTTCCAGTCAAGCTGTGCCACTCGTCTCACTTCTTGGCCTTCTTTAAGTTTCTTCTGGACTAGGTAAGGAAACTTCACTGAAATGCTTTCCATTGAATGCTGACTGAGGTAAATTGGTGTGGGATCAATATCATTTATAGGGCTAAAAGGTTGTACTGCACGTACATCATCCAGGCCAAGAATCGCATCAGCATGTTCATGAGTCAAAATAATTGAATCCACTCTAGGAATCCTATGGTGAGTAAACCATCGTAGTACTTGCTCCCTAAATGTTTTCCCTACATCAATCAAAATATAATGGTGGCTGCCATCCACTTGGCAATAGTCAATGAGAAGAGACGTATTGCACCTGTAATTAGGGTTTTTCTCAGGTGGAACGGAGAGGGCCTGGGAACAGATGCGGCAAGGAGGATCAGAGGGCTGGATCAGACACATTGCATTGGGGACGGCGCTGGAACAACCAGTTCCTAAGAAGATATATTTGATATATATGGAACAACCAGTACCAATGACGTTGATAACTGCCAAGACCGTTAACCATTTTCGCGTGCCAAGACGACGGCCCCTATAAATTCCATCTTCTGTTGTCTCAGGAGTCATCGCGCTTTCACGTTCTCAATTCTTCTGGCCCCCGTTTTTCTCCAACCAACGTCAACAACTCAGAATCACCGGGAAAAATGGCGGACCTCGATGTCTCTCAGAATGGAGCTTCTGTCACTGTTGCTCATAATCAATCGGCTCTGATACCATGTTAAGAATGAGAAATAGAAATAGAATTGGGATCGAAAGTATGATCTTCATTCAGGTTTACAACGTTTAAATAGGATACAAACTATCAACTAATACCTAAAAATAGAAAAAATATATATCTAACTAAATTTGGTAAATAAATAAAATATACGGTTAATAAAATCTATACTAACAACTCCCTAAATATCTGATATATATTCTAACTAATTATCACGGCAAAATATCCTCTTAATAATAACCCTTTGGACTTTCTTCTTAAATATTGACAGATGGAGTCTGCATCCATTTATTTCCAGTGAGATCCGATATTTTCTTATCCACGTGTCCATTTTATCAATAAAATAAATTTTAATATAACTAAACGCTAAATTAAACTTAAAATATTTTTAGATATATTATCATTTTCGATGAAAGTAATTAATATAAAAAATATAATGATTACTTTTAAATTAAAAAAAAAAACAAAAATTCAATATTACCGGTATAATTTTCAAAAGTTAACCTTTAAGGGATATATCTATGAGGCGTCAATAAACGGTTTTCGTTTATATATTTATAGTAAGAATTTTTTTAATATTTTTTAAACGTAAATTGTGTTAATGTTATTTTTAAATTTTCGTGAGTATTTTTTTATACTATAATATTTTTAATTCTTTTTTAAAAAAGTTAGTATTAATTAAATTTTTTAAAAAGTATTTTTTTAAAACATTATTAAAAGTTCAAAAGTATTGGTTAAGCACATTTTTAATGGGTCTCGAGGCTTTTTAAAAGTGATTTTATATGTATTTTTATTAATTTAAATTTTTTTTAAAGTACAAAAAGGTGCAATAGTTACTTAAATTAATTTTGCTCTAAGTTGATATTATTTTAAAATAGAGATGTCAAACAATCTTTAAAATAATAATTTATGTATTGTTTATTAAATTATTAGAGCTATTATTAAAATAAATAAATAATATTTACCCACAAGAACATAGCTCAAATTGGTCCGTTACTTTTCAAGGCAAGAGAATTTAATATTTATTTAAATTGCATTATTGGTGACACATGTTGGGGGCTAAGCTAACAATTTGTTTACAATTATTAATATTTGACAAAGTTTTGCATATTATATAACAAAGGAAATTAATTGGAATTTGATTCAAATAATAATATAATTGTTTTTGAAATAAAAATGGGAGAAAGCGACTGAATTTTTAAAGGATGGATATGGACAATTCATTATGGTTGGACTCCATCGAATGATGACGCCCCCAAATACTTGAAGCTTTTCTATTTTTTATTTTTTATTTTTTTTGGGTGCCACTCGTTTTTTATCTAATGTCGTGAAAGATTAGGTATATTTGTATCTCGTTTTTTAGTTCAACGAGTAAAATTCAAATATCGAAAAGAAATGTGGTAGTCAATTTAGATATTTATGTTTGTTAGCGTGAGATTTGACGTCTGTTAGAGAGTGGAACAAAACATTATTTAGACGTATTTTAAAATTGTGAGGTTGACGGTGGCGAGTTTGGATTGTTACAGTTAGGGATTAGCCGAACTAAGAAATTTAGTGTGTGTAAGAGAGAAACCCAAGCATTTCTTCCAATTGGGTTAGGTTGAGTTGTAGGGTTGTTTTTTAATTATTAAAAAAATATATTTATTCAAGTTAATAATTAAAATATTATAAAATTCAAATATTAAACTATCACAATATATTACTAACTTTACACCACAAAAATTGTTATTTTTTTATAAGAATTTTTAAAAAATAAGATAGGATTGAATTAAATTGGTTAAATTGTAACTCTATTTTAAATTAAACCTAAAAAAATAAAAAATCATGACCGGATTTTAAATATTTTAAAAAATTCAATCTAATTAAATATATATATATATATATATCAACCCAACAAATTATCTTTAATTCCCACAAATATTTTATTCTCAAAATTTAATATTGCAATAAAACCTTTAAATATATATATTGGGATTTGTTAAGGCATAACATTTGAATAATATATTAGTTATATAATATATTTTATATATTATATTTTAATATTATTTTCTATATAATTTGATTAGTAGTATATTTTATTTTATTTTCAATATTTGATTAGTTTATATTTTTTTTAGGTATTAGTAGGTAGGTTGTAAACCTCGTGAATATGGATTAGAATACACACCTTTCATCTCAATTTTATTTTTGTATTCGATCTTCCCTCCAAATCTTAAAATTAAATAAAGAAATTATGTTTTTACCTCTAAAATACCTTTTAACCGTTTTAATAATAATTTTTTTTTTTTTTTTTTTTGGATCTCGTGACTTTCTTTGGACCATTTTCTTGGATGAAAACAAACCGGTGGAACCGGTTTATTCTGGAATCGCCGCAAACGACGGAGCTCACGGCTTTTCAATCAACTGTTACGGATGCCGACACGGAGTATAAATTATATATATAGTGAAAGAAAAGAGTATTACTTTTAATAATGGTTTGATTTAAATGCAAAAATAAAAAATTCTTTAAGGCAAAATAGCAAATATTCATGACCGTTGGATGGCCACCGACAGATGCTGTGCACGAGGCGGATCCCACCATTAATCCTTGATTCGACGTTGTGTTCACGGTGCCTCCTAAGTCAAAGCTAGGTGATTGTAGCGTTACTCTAACTCAATATACTCCTTCTTTCCCTCTAATATTACGTCATAAATACACTTCTTATATTTCAAATATATAATATCTATATATATTTGGTAATTTAAATTCTTAATTAACTTATAAGTTACAATTTAATATGTTTAGTGTTACAAATATTTGATAATGCATTTTATAATTACATTAATATTTTTTTTAATGAAAAATAATGAAATTGAAGGCAAAAGATGAAGGTTGAATATTTAGAATATTATAGAAAGATAAATAACACGTGCACAATAACATACGGTTCTTAACTCTTTTAGTTTGGGTAATTTAATGGGCCGTAAAATAATGGGCCGTAAAATAATGGGCTATAAAATAATGGGCCGAAAGGCATGTTGTAGCCTCAAAGCCTGTAGGGCATATCTTAGCCTAAGTAATAGACGGGTTGTATTTACGACAGTTCCGGCCCTCCATTATTTCTGCCGCAACGGAACGACGGCGTTCGAGATGGTACAGAAGTTTCAGACAGAACCGGGTCGCGCGGGAAAATTAATGGCTGCGAATTCTTCAGTGGCGAGTTCAACGTCATTTTGACGATGGTGGAATAGCTGCGTTGCTGTTCGCAGTTCGCAGCTTCTATTTGTTATCGTCTTCGGCTTTCAGTCACGTCAAGTTCCGATTGCACGAGACCGGAGTTCCAGTGTTGGGAGCTGAATACGAACTGCGAAGGTTCGAAGACGTTGTATAGCATACTGCATCGAGTTCATTGGTTCCTGTATCCTCTGCACTCTTGGCGAAGCTTGGGAGGTAAGATACTGTTGTTGATAGCTAGGTTGGGTTATTCTCTGATTTATATTTCCTGTTTGTTATATTTGAGCGAAATTAGGGTTTTATTTTGCTTCACACAATTTAAGTCTCTTAGCAACATGTATATGGGAGTATTTAGAGCTTTACTTAGTTGAATTTCTACTCGTTTTGTTCTACTTGCAGATATTAGGATATTTCATGAACTGGGTTTTCAGCATTCCATGATTTTTAGCTTCATTTTTCTGAGGAGAAGTTGTGTTTTTAGCCGAGGTTTCCATACGGGTAAGAAGCTTTTCAGTCCAAGCACAGAGGATATTATTTGTAAAGCAATTTGTGTTAATTTAAAACATAGAAGATGGAAATTCTTGGAGCAAGTATCACCAAGTCTCACCAATTCGTTGGTTTGTCGTGTTGTTCGCGAGTTTCGCACCTCTCCGCAGTTAGCTTTAGAATTCTACAATTGGGTTGAGGCAAGAGACAACATTTCACACTCATTGGAATCATGTTGTACCTTAGTTCACGTGTTAGTCAATTCTAGAAATTTTGATGATGCGCTGTCTATTATGAAGAGTTTAATGCTTAAAGATGGTAAGTCGCCATTGGAGGTTCTGGGTGGGTTGATTGATAGCTATGAAATTTGTAGTTCAAATTCGGCAGTCTTTGATGCACTGGTGAGGACTTGCACTCAGTTAGGGACTGCAGAAGGTGCATACAACGTTATCAAAAAGTTGAGAGATGAAGGTTTCTGGGTTACAATTCATGCTTGGAATAACTTCTTAAATCAGCTCTTAAAGTTGGATGAGATTGATAAGTTTTGGAATATGTATAAGGAAATGGTTGCCAGTGGTTACATTGAAAATGTGAACACTTTCAATTTGATTATATATGCCTTTTGCAAGGAATGTAAATTACTAGAAGCAATCTCTGTAGTTTATTTGATGCTGAAGATTGAAATTTGGCCTAATGTCGTTGCTTTTAATATGATCATTGATAAAGCAAGTAAAATGGGCCACATGGATCTTGCTCTAAAGCTGGCAAGGAACATGGGGGTAATTTCAGGAGGCAGTGTATTGCTTAATATAGTTTCATATAATTGTATGATTAATGGGTTCTGCAAGATAGGGAGATTAGAGTCTGCAGAAAATGTTCTTAGTGAAATGATTAAGCTGGGAGTAGATTTCAACGTGACAACATATGCCACTTTGATTGATGGATATGCTAGAAAAGGGAGTTTGGATGTGGCATTTAGGCTGTGTGAAGAAATGGTTAAAATGGGCTTGATTCCAGACACTGTTGTATATAACTCCATCGTCTACTGGCTTTACAAGGAAGGGGAATTAGAAGAAGCTTCATTTTTAATATCTGACATGATCAATAGGCATATCTTTCCAGATGAGGTTACCTTCTCAATCCTTACAAAGGGGCTCTGTATAAATGGACATCTCGATAAAGCGCTAAGAATTCACGACCACATTCTCGAAAGGAACCTTGTAAAAGATGCTTTTACTCATAACATTCTCATCAACTATATGTTCCAGAGCCAAAAGACAGCAGGTGCCAAGCAATTGCTGAGCAGTATGATCGTTCGTGGTATTGAACCCGACATAGTTACTTACGCCACTCTGATTGATGGATGTTGCAAGGAAGGAAAAATGGAAGCTGCAATTCAGATTTATGATAAAACAGTAAAGGCAAGTGGAAAATCCGACTTGGTGGTTTATAATTCTATTTTAGATGGCTTGTGCAAGCAAGGCTCAATTGATGCTGCCAAACTCTTGGTAGACAAATTACAGAAGAATGGTTTCCTCGATTCAGTAACGTATAACACATTGCTACATGGATATTGCGTTAATGGGAGGATTGAGAAGGCTTTTGCATTGTTTTTAGAAATGATTAACGTGGGGAGTTTGGCTAACATAGTTACTTTCAATATAATGATCAACTTTCTGTGCGAGATGGGATTGATCCATCAAGCCAAGGAACTGATGAGAGCAATGAGTACACAGGGGATAGTTCCTGACCTTATAACATACACGACCCTCATCACCAATTTTGTTAAGAATTGTGGCTCCGAGGATGTCATTGAGTTACATGATTATATGGTGCTTAAAGGAGCAGTTCCTGATAGGCAAACATACCAGTCTCTTGTGAGCCCTCGCCTTCAAGAACAAGGCTGAAGGGTAGCCAGTAAACATAGCGCGATTGGGATGAATGATTCCAACGAAGAACATTCTCAAACGAACAGGAAATTTCACATTTGTTGCTTCAAAACTGTTTCAAATAACAAATGCAGGTCTTTTCTCCCTGTTGTGCTTATAATTTGTTGTTGGAATAGGTGGTCACCCAGTAGTTGAATAGATCAAATGCAGATTATTACTTGTAAATTCATTACTTTTTCAGGTAGTAAAATTATATTTTTGGTTCTACAGATTCCACAACTTCCCCAACATGATCTAACTTCCTCTGGGAGTCTGTTGTTCATAGATCTCCTCTCTCATGCTGACTTACTGATGTGAGATTTCATATTGATTGGAGAGGGGAACGAAACATTTCTTTTAAGGGTGTGGAAACCTCTTCCTAGCATATGCATTTTAAAATCGTGAGGTTGACGGCGATATGTAATGGGCTAAAGCGGACAATTATCTACTAGCGGTGGCTTGGGCTGTTATAAATGGTATTAGAGCCAGACACCGGATGATGTGCCAGCGAGGACGTCGGGACCCCAAAGGGGATGGATTGTGAGACTCCACATCAGTTTGAGAAGGGAACAAAACATTTCTTATAAAGGTGTTGAAACCTTTTCTTAGCAGACGCGTTTTAAAATTATGAGGTTGACGGCGATACATAACTGGCTAAAACGGACAATATCTGCTAGCGGTGGCTTGGGTTGTTACAAATGGTATCAGAGCTAGACACTAGGCGGTGTGCAAGCGAGGACATTGGGTTCTCAAAGGAGGTGGATTGTGAGATCCCACATCGGTTGGAGAGGGTAACAAAGCATTCTTTATAAGCGTGTGGAAATCTCTCCCTTGCAGACATGTTTTAAAACTGTGAAGCTGACAGCGATACATATCGGGAAAATAGACAATATCTACTAGCGATGATTTGGGCTGTTACAAATGGTATCAAAGCCAGACACTGGGCGATGTGCTAGCGAGGACGTCAGACCCTCAAAGGGGGTGGATTGTGAGATTCCACGTCGATTAGAGAGGGGAATCAAACATTTTCTTGGGTGTGTGAACTTCTCCCTAATAGATGCATTTATAACTATGAGACTAACGATGATATGTAACAAGCTAAAATGGATAATATCTGCTAGTGATAGCTTGGGTTGTTACAAATGGCATCAAAGCCCGACACTGGGCAGTATGCCAGCAAGAATGCTGGGCCCCCAAGGGAGGTGGACTGTAAGATCCCACATTGGGTTGGAGAGTGGAACGAAGCATTCCTTATAAGGGTGTGAAAACCTCTTCCTAGCATAGACACATTTTAAAACTGTGAGGCTGAAAACGATACGAAACGGGCTAAAGCACACGATATCGGCTACGCTGTTACATCTATTTTGAGAGTTTTACTATTTGTCATACCTTCTTTCAAGTTTAATCCCGGGATCAACATGAAAAAGACCCAAGATTTGCTGGAGAATATTCGCTAAGAATTTGAAAAAAATAGTTGAAAACTCAAAAACTAGTATCCACAATTAGGCCACTATGACAGGTAGAACCGACGGACCCACCATTACTAATTGAATCAAGGACTAGCCCCTTGCCCATCTCAACTGTCGAAATCGTTATCCTTAAGCCTCATCCTCTCTCAGATTTCCACTCCTTTCTTGCGGACCAGAACCACCATCGCCAATGAATGAAGATAAGACTTCACTCAAACAATAACCCCAGCCCTTCTCTGCACCTCCTCTTCTCCGCCAATCTACACCTTCCTCCTCCGCTGCTACACCATGTCTTGTTCAAATCTCACCATGTTGGTGTCCTCAAAATCCGCCGTCTCTGATGCCTCCTCCCTTTCATTCCGATCAGTTCTAAGCCCTTTTAAGCTCCCTTCCCACAACTCAACCTCAACCTACCCTACCAGATCATGGTCAGTTACCCCAATTCATTGCGGTCTTCGGGATCTCCGAGACCGTATCGATTCAGTGAAGAACACCCAGAAGATCACTGAAGCTATGAAGCTTGTCGCCGCTGCCAAAGTCCGCAGAGCTCAAGAAGCTGTCGTTAATGGAAGACCCTTCTCAGAAGCCTTGGTTGAGGTCCTTTACAACATCAATGAGCAACTTCAAACAGAAGACGTAGATGTTCCTTTAACCAAAGTAAGACCAGTCAAGAAAGTTGCATTAGTTGTTGTCACCGGCGACAGAGGTCTTTGCGGCGGTTTCAACAACGCCATCATTAAGAAAGCTGAAGCCAGAATCTCGGAATTGAAGGAATTGGGTCTTGAGTACACTGTCATCAGCGTTGGCAAAAAGGGTAACTCCTACTTCCTCCGTCGGCCTTACATTCCGGTCGATAAGTTCCTCGAAGGCGGCACGCTTCCGACAGCCAAAGAAGCTCAAGCCATTGCTGATGATGTCTTCTCCCTCTTCATCAGTGAGGAGGTTGACAAAGTAGAGCTTTTGTACACCAAATTCGTGTCATTGGTGAAATCCGACCCTGTTATTCACACCCTTCTTCCGCTCTCGCCCAAGGGCGAGATCTGCGACATAAACGGTGTCTGTGTCGACGCCGCCGAAGATGAATTTTTCAGGTTGACAACAAAGGAAGGGAAGCTGACAGTGGAGAGGGATACGGTGAGGACAAGCACCTCAGATTTCTCCCCAATTTTGGAGTTTGAGCAAGACCCAGTTCAGATCTTGGATGCTTTATTGCCTCTGTATTTAAACAGCCAGATTTTGAGGTCACTGCAGGAGTCTCTGGCCAGTGAGCTCGCTGCTAGAATGAGCGCCATGAGCAGTGCCAGTGACAATGCTTCTGAGCTGAAGAGGACTCTGTCGATTGTGTACAACAGACAGCGCCAAGCTAAGATCACTGGAGAAATATTGGAGATTGTTGCTGGTGCTAATGCCTTGACATGATCTCTTCCTTCCCTTCCCTTATATACTTCAACCCATGTTTCTATATCCCACTCATATCATTCAATTCTGCAATTTTATCAAATATATGCGAACTGTAAGCCTTTCATATTCCTGCGAACTTTATATTCCCTTGGAACTGTCAACTTTTTAAAGCAATTCCAGTCTCTGCTGCTTATATTCTATCGTAATTCCTTCTCTCGAACTGATCGAATTATGTTCCAGTTTTAATTTCATCGAATTCATTTTAGATGCCTCCATTTGGATCGGTTAATATACATTTTCATGTGTTTCTCTTTCACTTTTGTATATCATTGATATACGTCTTTATTAATAGACATTGATGGGTTAATTGACGTTTAATGCTAATCAAGATGGTTGATGTACGATAATAAACATTTAGACTCGTGGGGTCTAGATATTTTTCAGTGGAAGAAACTATATTTACGAGATGATGTTTTTTTTCTATTCAAATGTGATGAATAAGTATAAAAATAATAATTAAATTTCAAGCTTAGTCGGTTCTATGTCAAATAGGTCTATAGATTTTTTTGAAGTGTCTTGGTTTGTAAACTTTACTTTTATGTATATTAGATCCTTAAATTTTAGAATATGTCTAATAAGTCTCTAAACTTAATAATTATGATAGTCCACATTGGTTGAGAAGGAGATCAGAACATCGCAGACGCGTTTTAAAGCCTTGAGGGGAAGCTCGAAAGGGAAAACCCAAATAGGACAATATCTACTAGTGGTGAATTTGGGGCCGTTACAATGGTATCAAAGTCAGACACCGGGCCATGTGCCAGCCTTCTCGCTGTTCCTCGAAGGGGGTAGACATGAGGCGGTGAGCCAGTAAAGACACTGAGCCCCGAAGGGAGGTGGATTTGGGGGTGGTTCCACATTGATTGGAGAAAAGGAACAAGTGCCTGTGAGAACACGAGCCCGAAAGTAGGTGGATTTGGGAGTGGTCCCACATCGATTGGAGAAAAGGAACGAGTGACAGCGAGGACTTGGGCTCCGAAGGGGGGTGGGGGTGGTCCCACATCGATTGGAGAAAAGGAACAAGTGCCAGCGAGGATTGTGATAGTCCAACATTGATTGGGGAGGAGAACAGAACAACCCTGGAAAGCCGAGAACCAATTAAAACAATTAAATTAATTTTAGTGGACCATAATTAAGAGAATAAAATCATTATTTAACCTATATATTATTTACCGCTAGCATTGAAATAAGGATAAATGGTGAAGAAAAAGGAACGTAGGGTGGAAATTAAATCTTAACCGATTAGGTATGATCATCACATGAGGGATTATGCATGCGTGTCAGTCTTAATCAGTGATTAATGATTAAGTATGTTTTGAGAGGTACGTTGACGTGGCAATTTCTGATTGCGCCTTTCCATTGGCGACCCATCACACAACCAATTAACTCAAGAACCATTTCGCACCGTTGATTAATTCCCTCCCTTTCAACGGAAAATCACAGGCTTTTACTGGACCATAATCTCGTGCTTGCTAGCTGCTTCGGATGGCTGTGAGCGTAGCCATTTCTTCTTTTGGCTGTTTATCGGCGGAGCATTGCATGGTGTGTGCTAATTGAAGCTTTCGTCCTTTTCTACGTATTGGGATCTAGTTTGTTTGTTTTAATCTCTCTTTAATTATTGTTCTATAGCGCAATTCTAGAGGAGATTGTTTGGGAGTGCGATCTGAAGCTTGTTTGAAGGAATAGTTCTGGTTTTGAGTTGAACGGAGAAGAAGAAGAAGAAGAAGAGTAGAAACCGGAGTTTTCGTACTGTCGTCGTTTAGTTCCTTATGGAGGTGGCACTTCAAGCACAAGTGTCGGGGAGTTGGAGGAGCACGAATTTGAGTGAGGCACAAGCGGGGAGTTTGAAGTTCAGACTCATTCATGGAAATAGAGCATCGTCTACTATTTCTACTTCACTGGTATTTTCCATTTTCGTTGTTGGTGCCACTGTTCTGCGTGTTTTGATTTTCTATTTCTTTGGTTGTTATGATCTTTGGTTCGAATGATATTCATTGGAGTTCTTATTTGTCGCTGGTTTGTTTCTTTCTTGAGTGAACTCCTTTTCACTTATCTATCCGTTATCTATCAATTTGGAGGATATGTGTCGTCTTTATTATGTAATCTTTGTTGAAATATACGTCGAAATGTACTGTGGAACCGATCAATTTCAATATCTCATGGGAAGAGTTCTGAAAGATGTATTAATTTTTATATTTCTGAGATTTGGAATTGAGATTGATGTACCTGAACCTGCGTTTATTGCTTTACTTTTATGGGTTCAGTCTCCCTTATGGTTCAGAGGGCATCTTGTAGCCGGGAGG